AATGAGTGTGCTCCAGACAGCATCTTCCGTGCCATCTCAGACATTGAGAGCTTCGTGCATAGAAATCAAATCACGAACATGGTACAGAGAAAACTTACAGATTTCTTGTGAGCCCCTCGATTAATTTATTACCAACGGTCTGAAATAAAAGGAATGCCGAGGCGACCTAGGATTTTCTATCCATCTGATTTTTTTGCGTTCGCTTGATTGCTGGAAGCTTTGAAATTTGGTAGGTGTGCTCTCGTGACTCATGCTCGCTTCAACGAACGTTCGTTGCAACGAACCAAATTTGCCGGTCCCGAGAGGTTCGCTGTAACGAGCTTTTACTGTATACCCGCTCCTTACACAAGTGACATGGCTCGGCAAGGTAACTACATCTGGTCTTCTTAGAGATATCTTAGGAGCGTCTGCCTCAAGCTCTTTGTTCCATTCGACCTAACCATCTTCGGCACTGTTTCGAGATTCGAAATGGCCTCCGCGGCGTCGGGAGGTGTGCTCTCGAGCATGGACATCGAGAGCCTCAATGACTGATTAGAGCAGCGTTCCTGAAACAAGGGGACGCGTCCCCCGGGGAAAACGCAGGAGAACTTAAGAGGAGACGCGGGAGAAAATCGGGGGAGACGTGGAGGATCCCTAGAATTCCCAACCGATCGATTTTTCGTCTCAGAGAAGTCACCCAGCTCATTGCTAGCCTACAATTCTTCTACAAGTCTTTGATCATTGTACGATTCTTCGAGAAAGCCATATTCCATGGAGAAAACGGCACTCTGACATGTTCAGGTCGAAACTTTACATTCTCAGATATACGGTGATCTCCTTGGGAGACGCGAGCGCCCCTCATAAGGCTTAGGGGAGACGTGAGGGAGAAATGTTTGAGAACAGCTGGATCAGGGGAAAAAAAGTTCACTAAGGCGTGTTTTACCCAATCGAGTACTGACTGCTCCTCCATCTCGGAAACCCCATCCAGGTTCCATGCAGAATCGGGAGGACACCGATTGAATAAAGAAAACTTCACATCGGACGAAACCGAATCATGTGTACCTCGATGATTCTGATGATATACGAATTAAGACCTAAGGATCCTATGGGGCAATCGAGAATGCGTTCCACGTCCAAACTCACGCCAGGGGCTTTTTTGCGATTGGGAATTTGTATCGAGTCGTTCCCCAAAGCCGGAAGACGCTCCCCAACTGTCAAGAACACCCCAACTTTCTGAAGTTATTAGTGTGACTCCTCCAAGGCCCCCATACTCTCGAGGAGCCGCCAAATACTGCGAACGGGGCTCGTGTTCATGTGGAGCCCCACAGCCTGTATGATTCATGATATAATATTGGCATCTGTCGACAGAGGGTTTTGCGTGGGGGACTCTCGAAGTGCAAAAGGATAGCGAGAGCCTCAAACAGTGTCAGGAGAGAGACGGACAGTACTTCGGATCTTGGCTTGGTTCCGAGTCGTGTCCTTCGGGTAAAGATCAAATCGACACGCGATTTCACTCTGAAGTTTCCTGCGAGGAATCTATGCGACCTGGAGGCTTCACTCGTCACCTGGAGAAGAAAACGCGGAAGCTATGTCTTGGTCGAGAGGAATCTTCTGGAAGGAAGAGGCGGAGCCCCCATGAATCATGTATGTACTTCTACATGAGCTATCTAGTCACTAAGGGCTCTCACATGGATACTGAAACGAATCTCTGACTTCCAGTTAGAGGATACAATCCCGCGGAAACGGCGTCGCTCGTAACCGCTCAACCGTCGAGAGGTGTGCCAATCCGGCTCCCTGTACGACGGAAGAAGCATGTCAAGACTTTATGTCCCGCCCCGATATTTATGAACCGAGCAAAGCTTCTTTTTTGCAAAGTCGCCGACCACAATTTATATGAATATTACTCAGATTGATGACCGCTGATGATTATCCGATGCGTACCTTCCGGCAGTGTACCCATGGAGCTCCTCTATGGAATGCAGCCTCACTCAGTCGCATACAGTAGCTTCGGACAGGGAGTGCCATCGCTTTCCCTCATTTTGTGTCTCTCATTCAGACATGAGACCTCATCGCTACTAGAAATGGGTATCGAAGTCCTTGCCTCGAGCTCCAAGGCCTCCAATACGTATTCCTCTTCAGCGGGGATAGGGGTTGGATGGAATGGAAAGTTTGCATATCTGGCGTCTGGTTGAGTGATCCTGGCGGCATATGCATGAAAATGATTGAGGGAGTAGGGATCAGAAAAGATAATTGATGCGAGGAAAAGCATCCCCTCCCTCACAGAGCGAGGATAAATCTTGGCTTATGGAGAGGTCATTGCGACGTGACGATAATGTGCACGTGATTCCGCACATTCGCATTTCTATATGACTCGAATCGTAGAAGCCAGCTCGGACGACTGGTGATGCATCACTCCCACCGGACAACGCACAATAATCTACAACCAGCGAGACAGCAAGGCAGCTGACTCCCGTCGTTGCCGCCATGTGAGGGAGATCGACAAGTTTCTATCTATTTACTATTACATATATGGATAAAATACGGTAGTTCAATTTCAACATTATATGTACCAAGGCGGCGGATCTCGTCGTTTTCACGATCCTGCTGTTGATCATGCAGCTGATTACAACACGCACTGCTGATAAGCGGCGGCCTGTGGGCGCTTGCTTCGAGAAGGAGAAATCTATGAGATGTCTGCCCTGCACTGCTTGTCATGCAAATGCGCTTGTCAAGAAGTCGCATGGCGCACAGTGACAAAAGATTGTCGGGTTCCCTCGATTTTCGATTCCGCGCCGCTCCCTCTCGACTCTTCGTCCGCTCGAACCCTCGGTGACCAGCCAGCAATGAACCGTTGAACGGTAAGATAGCTTAAGGCTGAATCGACCTTAGCTCGTAACCGATGTTATTCGCTACTTCAAGTGACCGTGGCGGTTATGACGCAGATGATGAAGACAACGTCTGGCGGTCGTCGATGTTTCTTCATAGTGACCGAATGATCCTCATGCGCCCGGGATGCCATCACCGCTCCTGATACTCCCTTTGTAGCCGAAGCCGATGGTCGGTAGCGGGTTCTCCGGAGCTGCTTCCATGGCGCGGACACTTCGGCTGACAGGAGAGGCAGTCAGACGCAAAGCGAGCCGGCCAAGCAAGCAAACAGCTCATCCCGCTGTACGAACTTCGCCAAGAGCGGAAGAAAGCTTCCGGTCATGTGACCATCTGATAGATTGTGTGCTGCGTCGGTGAACTTACCCAGCCGAAACCTTCCCAACGGAAAGCAGCTGAAGAGGAGCCTCACCTTGGCTATTTCATTCTTGAGAGCGATAGAAGTGATCTGCTCTGCTCATCGGAGATGCGAATAATTCGAATCGCCCGTCGCCGGTCCACGCAACTCCATCTCTGAATAAAACCTGATTCTCATTGGAAAATGCCAACAGACCGATGCAGGGCCCAGCGCAGGATTCGGTTCGACTTTTCCTTACGAAAATCACGGATCATATCCGGGTATCCGGTCGCCTGGTCGAAGGTGTCTCGTGAATGTACATCTTGGATTCTGCACGTCAGCATTCTCCGAGTCACAAGGCATTTCTATTGATATACAGGACACTTTCCAGATGGAGCATCATCGTCTCGTATGATAATCTTATTCAATCAATCGATATTCGTAGGTGAGACCGAGATATTCGTAGGAAGCGTTGGAGTCGATTCCCCACATTTCACGCAGCTCTTGACGACCGAATCAGAAAGTCACTATCTCGCTCGAATCTTTTGCATGTAGCGATACTACATCAACTCGGGCGTAGCGTTCAAAGCTGACGAGGGCGGATAAGTGAGCTCACCAGCTGCTGCCCTTAAACGCTCATTTTCCCCACGGTTATCAAAACGAGACGGAGCCCAGGGAACGTCCTCGGACCTCTCTGCGCTAAGCTAATTACGCCATCGCTGTATTCGAAAGGAAGAATGCGCAGACTCAGTAAAGACTCCAATGGATGACGCTCCTTGAGGTTTCCTCCAGGAACCTCGGTCGAAATTGTACCTGCCTTCGGGAAAGAGTTTCGATTGGAAATCAGGATTGATCGAAGCGAGTAATGAATCATGAAAGCAGTTTCCAAGCGATCCTTGAAAGCGATATGATCCGAAACCGGCCGGTTGACCGCGAGGCTGTAATTCGTCCCGCATGACTTCCTTTGCGAACCGTCTGGCTTGTCAACAACTATTTTTCAATTGGACCTTCAGTCACTTCTTCGACCAATCCATTTTGCCCTGCGGCTCGACTCCGGACAACAACTGGGACAGAGGAGTGCGATCCGAGGCCGATCGTATTCGTAGTATGCAGCTCGATGATGATAATCGAGAGCTTCTCCTCTGGCACAGGCACAAATCCAAAGCCCCTTGCGAGCACGGGGCGTGAAGAATTATTGATCGACGCATTCCATTCCGGAAACTGATGTCAATCGACTTCTATTGGTAGATTAGAGCTTCTTCCGTGAGCGGAATCCCGTAGACTGGGATTAGGCGACTCAATTCGAACAAGTTCCCGATCCGTGTGAACCATAAAAAAAGGATTTCGACGACGGTGCAATTTCATTGTCGGGGTCCAATTCGTAATGGAGACAAGCCCATTGTTTGCGCGTTGTTTTTGCTGAATAGCCGCCCCGACTTTTTGAAAACATGGTTTGCAGCCGACGAAGAAAGCAGTTTGTGTCTGAACCATTTCATAGCATCGGACGCTTTCTTTTGTCAAATGTTGTGGAGATCCGCACAGGGAAGATGATATTGATGGGCCCTGGTGGTGCAACGATGAATCGAGCCGCGGCGCGCCGCGCGGGAAGGGACCCACTATAAAGAGCCCGGAATCCAGCTTCGCTTCGGAATCCCCTTTGGAACGTATCGAAGATAACGGTCCGTATCGGGACATGGCAAAGGTCCGTATTCACTAAGAGAACTGTGGTCACCAATCTTGTTATTCGTGCACGGCTTTTGAGCCTCTCTCACCCGGCGGAATTCATAGTCGGATTTCATCAATGTACTTCATCGTTGTTTTCAACGGTCTCTCAAGAAATTCGATTTGAGTCTTGACTCGCCGGATTTCTTCGAGCAGCTCGACGAATCGCAGACAACTTCTTTTGACGAGCGCACCTGAAAGATGACTTACTAACGTTTATCTGCTTTCTTCCGCAGTGGCTTGTGGTAGTGGGGGCCGTTGCCCTCCTAAGTGCAACGAGTCGCGCCGGAGGTCATGGAGGAGGTGGCGGCGGCGAATCTATCATTGTGAAAGAAGTTGATGGTGGTCACGGAGGAGGCGGTTACGGCGGTGGAGACGGTGGCGGTCACGGCGGTGGTGAAGTCCAGTTTGTGCAAGTGCAGGAATCGGATGGACACGGCGGAGGATACGGGGGCGGATACGGTGGAGGTCACGGAGGTGGTGGTGGTGGTGGCGGCGGCGGCGGCGGTCACAGATACACTGCCCAAATCGACAAAACACCGATTCCCATCAAGTACAAACAGGGTCTTGTCACATCGACGCATCCAATCTCTCTCGTTGAGCCGATAAAGATTGCCGCAAACCTCCCTGGACCCAAAGTGACTTTCCCCCACGGCATCCCTAAGGCCGAAAGTTCCGGTCACACAGCTGTTCAGATCCAGGAAGTTGGTGGCGGACACGGCGGCGGTGGTGGATTCGGCGGCGGCGGACACGGTGGCGGATTCGGCGGCGGACACGGAGGCGGATTCGGCGGCGGACACGGAGGCGGATTCGGCGGCGGACACGGTGGAGGTGGCGGAGGTCACGGCGGTGGAGACTCCGTCATCGTCAAAGAGATCGAAGGCGGCGATTTCGGAGGCGGTCACGGTGGCGGTTTTGGAGGAGGTCACGGCGGAGGTTTCGAAGGAGGTCACGGCGGAGGTTTCGGAGGAGGTTTCGGAGGAGGTCACGGCGGAGGCTACGGTGGAGGAGGAGGAGGAGGTCACGCTCAGGCCATCGAGGCTGGTCCCGATGCTGCCTACCCCGACCCGGCTGTATCTGTCGCCGATTCCGTCCAGAAAATTCCGATCGGACAAGCTATCCAGACCGAAGAAGCTCACGGTGGTGGTCATGGCGGAGGACACGGAGGAGACTCTAAGGGCGTCGCCGTTCTCTCGATCAATGTCCAAGAGGCCCACGGTGGTGGAGGAGGCGGAAACCACGGTGGATGGGACGGCGGAGCGGGTGGCGGTGACGGAGGCCATGGTTGGCAGTGAAGTCGCGGGACCCCGGCGCGGCGTCTTGCGGACGCCCCGGTAGGGACCGATTCAACGCCATCTTTGTACATATAAGGTTTCTGCCTGATGCTACCTCGGATCTAGAATCTCAGCATCCAGTCCGTGTAAATACAAAACTAATCGAGCAATGCTACATGACAGATGATAATAAACCCAGAGCTGTTATTTAAAGCATCCTCTCCAAAAATATCATTAAGAGACAAGTCGATTCGGGGATGCTATCAAGGAGAACGCGGAAGAAGGGTATCACTAACCATTTATTAAATATAGATCGATCAGCGCTCGAACCGAATCGATCTGCCGGCATCGCCACGATGCTCGTCGACTAACTATCGAATAATTTACGCTTCTGGGGTTGGCGGCCTGAGGGTTGGTCGTCGTGTACGAGCGCACTCTCGGGTGTTTTCTCGGATCGCTGCGTTGGTTTTCGTCATTTCTTCACGGATCTTGCGGATTTGCTCTCTGATCTGGAAAATTCGGAAAACCCACTCAGCTTCCATCTCCGGAGCAGGATCCGAAGCGTCGGCAGCATTCGAGACGCCGCATCGATTGGAATCAAGCGAAGAAATCTCACCTTCTGGCGTTCGTCTCCTCGGACTCGAACAAGCTCAGCGGTCTTCTGCGCAATTTCTCGTCCCAACTCGCGCCATTGATTCGTCAAATCACGGATCTGGATGGAGAAATAATTGCAGCTATGATAATTATTGATAGTTCCGGTGCTATTCCAGCACGATCCGCGGAATCCGGACCATCGATCGTCTGCCCGGCGCAACATGTGGTGGAAAGATGATTCCGCGAACGCTGCCCCAAAACATAAGTTTTTTATCTCACCTTGCGGCAGGGGTCTTCTGGATTCTTCGATTGGGGGATAGCATCGATATCGAATGGAAGCTCCGGCAGCTTCTCGATCTCGGCGTCTTCAACCAGGTATTCTTTGCCTGCAGAGATAATTGGACTTTTGGTATACCGTCGTGCCGTTCACCTCGAGCCATAAAGCCGCAGAATAGTCGCAAATCGACATTGAAATCTAAACCAAGACAATCACCTGCGTCTGTGTCGAGACTAGGGACAACGACAGCCTGTGGTACTGATTCCTCGGCTTGTGGCTCCTGGAGATCCTCTAGCAGCAAAGTCTTTTCAGCGTTCTCCAACGAATCTCTGCTTGCCTTGACATCTGGAGGGAACCTTACTCAGTAGATGTACTATTGAAGGAGGAGACACCCGATCCAAACAATTTTTGACACGGACTCACCACTTCCGTAAGCCACGACGGCCGAGCCACACAAAAGTAGTATTCCGATTTTCATGCTGTTGCGTATTCTCAAAACTTTCTGCCACCGGCTTCTGCTAGACAAGCGTGTCTTTTATAGCAACAGAAGATGGTCGATTTGTGTTGTCCAGAAAGGGAAGAGAAAGTGATCTTTCACCAGTGACACAGTTTTCACGATGCTTCTCGGTTCGAGCTCTATTTTTCTCCGGAAACATTCAGACAGGAACTGCTTGCCTTCACGAAGCGTCTTTCGGCTGCCGCTCGGACGTTTTTTTACCAGCAGCAGCCGCAGCCGCAACGGTTCGCCTCCGGTCAACCCATTGCAGGAGCCGGCCAGCCGGGAGACAATCCCTTGTATCACCCAGGAACTGCGCCACTAAGGTTAATAGAATGACGTAAACCGGATCCGCAGAACTAGATGTTGACTTCGTGCCGCTTGGGATAACCAGATCACAAAAACGGTCGCCGCTGGATGTCGTCGCTGCTGCTTTTGGGTGCTCTTATCAGTGAAAGTTGGTCACAGCTCCCAGACTCAAGCGAAGAGCTTCACGACCCAAATCAGATTCTCTCCGTCAAAGCGGGCTGATCCATAGCGCTCGCCACATCATTAGCATTGAGCAATCAGACGGTATCAATCCGACAGGAGATGGAGCCGATTCCCGTACAGGAGCTTGCACTGGGAACCTCACAATCGTGTTCGAGTGCGAGATCCGAGCCGATGTTTGACATCATTTTCATTGATTACAATACACTTTGAATGGGGAGCCTAGGACTGAGCCGAGGGCACTAATTGAGCAGTCTCGAGCGGGAATCTTGAGAACCTAAAAACCGGGAACTCCCATAGAATTCTCTAGTGATTTTCAGCAGCCTTCGGGGGTGTAACAGCAGGGAACGTTCAGTTTCGGAAGCCAACGGCAACGAGAGTCGAACAGACGACAAACAAGACGGAAGAGAATGCTCCCGCCGGTCGCGCTGAAAGAATTATGAATCTGATAGGATCTGCCGGAACGCCGTTCTATCGATCGAGCTCCCCTCCTGGATGAATGCATCTCTACTCTGTGGTGGGCCCCAGGTCGAATGTGTTTTGGAATTCAATCGAGAGATCCGATGTATGCTTTGAGAAAATTGATTCGAATCATCATAATGAGTCGTGATGTCTTACCGGCGTTGACCGAAACATGAATTTCATCACATCGCGAGGCGCCTTCAGCATTGATAACTTCGCACGCGTAGCGCCCCGAATTCTTCGCCGTTGCTTGGTGCTCCACGAGGACCGCAGCATTACTTTTTTCTAATCGTCGACCGTCCCTGTACCTGTTTCCGGGGAGAACTCAGTAAATAAATACATCTGCCGACGGACAAAGTTTCCGCCGCCGGAATTATTCACGCATATAGATGGAGCCTCGGATTCCCGGATGGTCGAGCAGCTAAATTCTCCCGTTAAAACGTGAGAAAGACTCCCTCTCACCAAACGATTTCGGCTGTTTCAGGATTAGCTCTGTACTTGCAGAATACAACAAGAGTCGCTCCGTCTTCCAGAGGACCCTGGCGGTTTATGGAACACTCGACACTGGGCTTATCTGAAACAGAAGCGAAAGTGGAGCTAGTATAAGCCACAGTGCGGAGCATAAGTCCCAGAATTGGAGAATCGACCGAAAACATGGCTCACAAAAAACGTTCAACACCAGGGTTTGATTCGCTGTGCTGCCTGGGAAATCTTGAAGTGCTTGATTCCTCGCCTCGCAGATGAGTATCCTTCCTTGGTCTTCCTCGGTCGGAACGAATGTGACCTGGGGTTTTTATGGATCAGTAACTGTTTCTTCTGGAATTGACGCGTTCCCAGTGTTTCATTCTCATTCTTACCACAGATGTTGTGATGGCATTATCTTTCGAAACGTGGGTGAAAGTCGAAGCCAATTGACCCGGCCTGCCTGAAATACGCCTGAAATTCGCTGCATCCTTGAGAAATATGCTTCCACGAGGCATTGGATTCTATATCTTCTGTCCGATCTCGAAGATATTCTAATGAGAACAAGCATTGAGAGGCGCGTCAGAATCCCTGCCGCGGAGGCTAATGACATGATCGGAGAGGTATCTCTAGTCGTCGTCTGCGGGGATCAGGGTGATAGGGCGTGTTAGGATTTGAGATTACCAAGTCACTTCAGGCACGGGACGAGATCCAACGATTTCGCATTCAACGCTGGCAGGAACACCAGCTGAGAAGGTGCGCGATTGTATGCGCATTTCGGCAGGTCGAGCTGAGCGGACAAAGGTTCAAATTAAAGCTCCGCAATTATCTCATTATCGACCGAGGTCGTTTGAGTGCGACCCGAGAAGAGGGATGTCACGCGATCTCTGGTTTGAGCTCGAAAGGTAATCGACATGGAAGACAAAACCGTCGCGTCGGACTGGCAAGACTGTTCTCGGGACCGGAGACATTTGGAAGCAGACGTGTGATGAAATTCTCAAACCACTGATGGAAAAGCTCTTACTCCACAAAGATACGGCCACTGATACAGATGATGTCAGATTGATGTTCTCGTTGCGCGCCTCACACGAAATCATTGCACCATGCATATCTCTGGAAGCGGAACAACATTGGACATTTATGTTGTCAGTCAATGACAATGGCGAGGAACCGCCGTTGATGCCGGTCGCATGGCGAACGGGAGCGATTCCTAGCATACCTTGTAAGTCCCCTGAGAGTCAATCTGCTTTGTACTACCGATGAGTTCTTCGCCTTCAGGCCTGATGAGGTCAGCATGGTCGCTCTCAAGGAACTCTGGTTGTCTTCTTTGATTCTGCGGTCGTTTAGGTACCACTGCAGGCTGAAACCTGCATGGTACGTATCAACAGAGGGCTCGACTCAGGCGCGGAGGAATCACGGTGGAGATACATAAACGACGTCTCCACTTCTCGCGTCGAACGAGTTTCTCGAAAATGAGGCTCATTACGCTGTAAAGATGCACGCCCAGTGATTGGGCTGGGACCTGGGACTCGCCTTTTTGTATGACACATGTAATCCGAAGGTCGTTGCCTTCGATGACGGGACCAACGAACGCTTTTATCCGCTGACCAGTCTCCGAATGGAAGAGCTCGGGTCGATTAGTGTCGCCTGGAATAATCAGAGCCATACACCTCTATGTATATTCACTCATGAAGAGTAATGTCGTATGAATAAATGCAACTACGGATTCGTGGAATTCCGAGTGTTCTACACCAAAATCTGGAACGCCCGCATCGTACGGCTCAGTCCAAGATGCCACGATGGATTTTTGGGTGCCCTCTCGTGGAAGTCGCTTTTGCGAGAAATCGGATCCAGACCGCAAGAAACTCTCTCGTCCACCCTGGCTCAGTCGTGAAGCTCACGGTCAAGAGTTTCTAGAGGATTCCCTTCATCGGCGAGAATGGAATGGATCAAAATACTAAAGCGCAGGCAGCTCGAAACGCCCTCACAGGAGGAGCACGCCCTCCAAATTTCGTTCGCCGATTACCGCGTGGTGAGAGAAGGGTCACTCAATTTCAGAACAAGCCCATGATAATACTCCGATCGACAACCGATCTTCCTGCTTCTCGATGTCTGCTTTCGATCAAAATCCCCGCCCGTGCCGCATTCCTCTCGGCGAGAGAACGAGGGGGAATCGCTCCGCAAACTTGCCAATCTGGGGATGTTAGCTGCGAAAACTTCAAAAATTATCCGCGTATCAGCCAAATGCAAGGCCAGGTGGGTGATCGGGGGGAGGGTGGTAGGATGAGATGACGTTGAACGCGTAGGGCGAATATTGGGAAAGATGGGAGTCTAGGCAGGAGATAAAACCGAGGAGGAACTCGAGCGCACTCTGGTTCTCGATCGTTCCATGGTAGCAACTTGCATGAGGGAAGGGTTTCATCGGAATCGAGCTACTTTACACCGATTAATCAAAACCGAAGTGTCGGACAAAAAAGCCACCGCGTGGGGGATTAATCACTACCGACCAGCTGGACCCGCACGCGTAAAAATTTCCAAGCTCGAATATCGCGGCTTGAATGCAGAGCGCGGTTCGGAGGAGCCGGTCAAGTTTTCATTCGGAGCCCTTTCGATCGTCAACCCGGACTCTCCATCGCAGACTAAATGCCTGGAGACGAATCCGCCCTCTAATTTGCAAACGTTCGCGATCGTATCTTGCGGCGTACGCTGCTCTGCTTTCGAACCGCCCACAAGTCTATGCCTGAGGGCTCGTATTCCGGCAGTAACTTTTGTGCTGTATCACCTTGCTCATACTAGCGCAGCGTGGATCGCAGTCGAGAATCAACTTTGACAAGAGGGGGAGTTCCGCTGAATATTCCGCGAACGATTAAGCGTGCAGTCTGTATCAGTATACATATCCCCTTGCGCTGATGAGGAGCTCACGATGCTTTACTACCGACGTACAGGATTCCGGCTGAGTCGATTGTTCGCGATCGAGGAGAAACTTCGGTGCACTTTCACAGTTCTCCCGTGATCGAATTAGAACTTGCGGTGGTCCCTTTCCCCTCGGGGAAATTCCCGAATCGAGGAACGAGGCACCCTCATCTCTCATGGGACAGATGCTGTACTTACGGCCGCACATGACCAAATATCACCGCATGCTAGCCGCTCCGTCGCGGAGAAGCGTCTCCAGAAGATCGGAGATCGCGTCCATTGCCCGTGCTAGCGCAATCGGGGAGCTCAATCGCGGATGTCGCAGGCCCAGACACAATCGTGCAGCCTAGGGCTGGGAAGTTGGCGCGATCGCGCCAAAAGCCGTGAATTTTCACGGTATTTTCAGACGATCCTCCATAGGAAGTCAAGGGGGGCTGAAAATTGCCGTGAATTTTCGGGGGAAATGCCGTGAATTATTCCCAGCCTTAGGTATGCCCCTTCGCCATGGCAGAAAGCTAGGAGTGCAGGAGTCCGTCACCCTGGCGATTGAACAAGTCGTGCACCTACGTACATACATATTTGCTTCTCGTGGTGGACAAGAGCTATGTCTCCTTTCTTCCCGGTCCTGTAGTGAATTCGCGAACGCCGAGCCGTTTGTCTGTTCCTCTCTTTCCAAACAGAATTCCGGCTCGGAGGGGGGGCAGAGCTCAGGGGACCCAATTGAGCGGGATTTGCTCGGAGCCGGGCTGCATCCAGATGTCGCAATTCAGCTTGTCTTGAGTCGCTTTCTGGATGCTCACAACTCGAAATGATCAGCGCCCGCTCCCGCGATCGGATAATTCAGTCGATCCGACTCCGTAGCTCGTCTCGATTTGCTCTTCCGGGACGAGTCCTATCTTTGGGAAGCATTCCGGCACACTCACCAACTACCAGAACAGTCGTCGAAGTGGAGAGAGTGTTCCGATTAGAAAGCGTGACTTGACACACATAAACTCCCGAATCGCCTTGATTCGCCTGAAAGCAAATGACAGCTCAGAAGAGGAACGAGCTTGTTTTGAGTCCCCCTCCAGCGAATGACCCACCTTCCCGATGGTAAGAGTCGGTTGCTCTTCTTCTATGAAAGAGAAAACGCGTCCCTTCCAGACCTCCAAGGGCTGATGTTGGTGGGTAGTCGTATGGGTGAAAACCGAGAAAGCGTTCTCTGCGCTGTACCTGCGGGAGCAGACGGTGAGCACGATATCAGCGACCAAAATTTCGAAGGTCTTGAGAGACACCCATTCTGCGAATGCGCATATTCGAATCTCATCGGAGTAGGGCTATAGAATATCCTCCAAGAATTACCGATATATCGGATGGGTGTGATTATCCTTGAACCAAACTATGTCTTGAACTCGTTTCCGATTCGGCACCGATGGACATTTCACTTGGAAACGCTCTGAGCTCTTAACAAGGACGACGTTCGATTCTGAAAAAAATTGAGACTTTTTCGCCGATTTCCAATCGTATTATCCGTTGCCCGACAGTCCCTCTCCATCCCCCTGTGAACAAGCTCGAGTCGCATGTGTCGGTCCATGGGCTCGCACGGAGCCCCCACACTGTCTCATCAAAGCTTCTCCCTGTCCTGGATCACTGGTATACCTGCAATCGGAATGAGCGGCTCTCTTCCCTCCTTGCCCTTGGAGAAACACCACAGCGGCAGAGAAGCGCTACCTATTGATACCTGCGGCTCGCTGCAAGTAGAAGAGCGGCTCGAATATTGTGAAGCATCGTTCTGAGCAAAGATGCATGCCTCCTTGATCGTATTTCAACGCATCGGAGCGTCAGGGGCTTCTTCGATATATCTGCGTTCAGAATATTTGAGGTTCGACTTGATTTTCGTTCTCACTCGGGAGCAATCGATGATTTATCCTCGACCGCAGTGAGAATTCGCTCCTCAGATAGTTTTCTATTCAGAGAGCAGAGTCACAATTGGAGCCAATCGGCCGAGATGAAAGGTTGGGCCGCCCAATGGAATGGGAGTGCGGGGCTCGCTCTCGGAGGCACCTGCTTTCCTCGTGCCTTCGACTGGCTCGGCGTGAGTTTTGAAAGCTCTGGGAAGCAGGCGAGCATATCAGCGATTGAGTTTCTCGTTCTGAGTTCATTTTGAACTTGAACCGATAAGGATGGTGCTTCGAATATGTATAGTGAGGCGCCTATGACGCTCACGGGTCACTTCCTCCGGAATTCTCAGAGCCGAGGTATTGATTCGACAAGGGACAGAAGTTGCAAACGTCCTTTTCGCGAGTTCCACCTGGCTCCTGAACATGATCTGTCCTTCAATACCGGGTCAGTGTACAGCTCTTCAGAGATACAGCTACGAGCGGTTAATCGCAAATCTTTGATCAGGCAGTGAACGCCACCTCATGAACGCAGTCGATCCGAGCGAGCGAGCGACGAATCGATGAATTCCTAATTTCCGCTCACTCAATTGTTGAATGAGCGCTGCACAAACAAGGAGCCGTTTGTGGCGATCGACAAGGGTGGGCTGAGCTCTGCGCAGGCTACAGTGCTGAATTCTTTTTCTCCTGTGGTGCTAGAGGCTCACGCGAGAGGGATGCCACATCCAGGACTTCTCATATTGTGGAGCATTCGTCTCGAGAAGGGAAACGACATCGATTCACGATGCGGCGCATCAATATGGAAACTCGAACTAAGTCCACGGCCACGCTGGCTCGGAGTTTCGGCGATGCCCTCTCTCTGGGAGGGAGTACAATGGCCCCCGAAATTATCGGGATCGGCTTAATCTTCGATTGAATCGCGCGCACGTTCTTCCAACTTGATGACTCAGGCTGTCGAGGGAGAAGCGCAATCGAGAGCTCATTTTTGCCCGAATCAACGACTCGCGGATCCTTTGACCGCAATAGGGCGAATGCTTATCATCGATCGAGGAATCCTCGGAGGTGGAGCATGTTCAGGTCATAGGGTACCGGTCATAGGGTACCTGATATCTTCCTTTTCATGCGGTCCTGACGGTGGGGAGTAACCATTCTAGAAGGGTAAGAACAGCGTGGAGAGAGCGTAATGAACATACATCCTTATTGTGAATTCGACTTGGTCGATTGATTGTGACTGGTCGGTGACCCAGATCCGATCGATAGTTCAGGCCCCAGGACTCGCCCAGTCTCGCTCCCGCTCAACTATCGGGACTCATCCTAGTACTCGAGACGTCGGATGTCGCGAACAGCCCTTGAGTATCAGAGGTTTCTACTTATCCCACTTGGCTCCTCCGGAGAACTCGTGACGATGGAGGTCATTCGCCGTTCCCCCGGTCCCTCCGCGAACGATGTCGGGAGTTCGGGAGGTATATTCCGGCTTCTTCCGGCGGCAGGAGCGGTGGTCAGTTCCTCGTCTTTGGGGTCTCCGTTGAGATCCAGAGAGGAGATGCTGCTGCGGTCCTCGGCTCGATACCTACGAGGATCACTTCTCTGGGGGTCTGCTGCCGAAGAGAAGGGAGATGACATTCCATGTGATCCGTCACATGAAAATAATTTCGATTGTGGCTCCCTCATGACTCATGACCCATCGGGGAAGGTGGATGGTCTGTCCGAGAAGGAGGCACACATAGATATACATGAATATAATATACACAAATTTTCTTTCTTTGAGCCACGGACAATCTCGGGAATAGGAATTTCGGTCTCTTCCAGGAAGAGAATGAGTCTCGCTCGCCTCCGGCTTGTCGCTAGCCTACTATAAACGGCGATCATCCGAGGCGAGAGATACCGAGAAAGTTGTTTCTGACGCGCCAAAAGCTTGCACGGGTTTGTTATCGGACTATTAGACACGCATTTAATTTCCGCCTGGCCCGCTCCGAGACTCCTCGCTTCCAGGCCCCAGTTGGTTGACCCGTCTCGTCGTTGTTGAAGTGATTGTGCAGAGAAAAATTTGTCAAGTCGCTGCTAAAGTAGCACCCATATCCCAAGCGCAGATATCACGGAGGCGGAAACGCGACCCCCAATTCTCCAGTTACATGCCTTAACGGGCGTCGCGTCGGCGTCGTGAAATACGTCCTCACCTCCGCAAGCCTAACCGTCTTGAGAATTGAGAGCTTTACTCACGTCGGAGAGCCGGGCTCAACAGGCTCTCTCCTGGAGCTCTTGCTCCCAATGACTACGGTGATTCCCGCGATTGGTGCCGCTCCTCCTGCATACGCGAAATGATGATGAGCTGCATGAAACCAGGAGAATCGTTCGACCTGCTCCTGATCCGACAGACTTTCTGCCGAGAGCATCACTCGGATTACCTCGAGAATACAGCCCCCCCATATCGCCGGGCGGTTTCCATGTTAACGGAGAACATGGACTTGGTTCTTCCGGAATTCGGGGATTAGAGGCCTCAGAGGACAAGGTCAAAGAAGCCAACGTGCCCCTTTGCTTTCCTCAATAGGATGATCGCGAGGTGACTCTCCTCTCCAACGCTTTCGTTGGGGTTGTCTCCTCCCGCGAGGGGAATATTCGGGACCGATCGATCTCTCCGAAAGCTCGCTCGTGTAAACGAGTCCGAGTCCCTTCGGAGGAGATTCCGTAGATTTTGGATTTCTCTTGGGAAATAGGCGACGGAATGTCCGCCCAGCGACAGCCAGCCTGCAAGAATCTTTGGATGTGCGATCGGATGACTTATTCGCTCACCTTTCGAAGCCGAAGGCGCTGCATGTAACAGAGCGATCAGGAAGCTCACGATTAAGGAGTTCATCTTCAGGGATCTCGTCGTCGATTTCGAGTCTCGGTAACTTTGGTCGGTGGGATAAGATATCGCGAAAATTCCAAGCACGCGCATATCGATTCACAAAGCGAAAACGAGCATCACGATGATTCCCGGAGCAGTATCAATCGGTCAGCCGAAAGCGGTCTTACTACCGCCTTTGCTATTAACCTTTCATCGAAAAGCGCGCGGATCCATCGGTTTGAACCGCAAAGGGCGGGACATTTCCACTCTGGCCCCGCCTCGTACCTGCTACCTGATTTGCCATCGAGTTCGTTGGGGAGCAATCTGCTCAGATCCGCACAAAGTCTGCCGCCGCTGCGAGTGCGCTATCCGAGATACCTTCTTCCATTTTTCCAATGTTTAGATGTTCATCCCTTGAATCCACAAGCGGTAGATATAAGATCCTACAACCCAGACGATTATATGATCCAAGAGCTGCATTACTTTCCATCATCAATCCATCATTGAGACGTTCCCCACGGGAAGGTAATCGTTTCCAGCTCCGCAAACGTTGATTGTGAGCCTTGAGTACATAATTTCTCCCTCCGAAAGAGTGTGTACATCGCACGAAAGAAAACATTGTGGTCAGATCAAGGGGAAGCTCCATCGAGACACGGACTGAATCAGTGATCAAAAGCCTGGCGCGAGTAAGATCCCGTCTGCCCCGCACTTGTCGCAGACTCGCCACGGAAATTGAGAACGAAATTTCGGTTTGAACACCTGTATTGCTCATTGTTAGGCACTTTCATTTCACGAGAATCACAGGAGTTCCACATCGCTCATTCCAATATACATTCTATGCGAAACTATCAAGCTGACGACTCATCGGGGACAGCCTCTGCGCTTCACGAGGGCTCTGAGTGAAAATTGTTCCATAATAGATACCTATGCTTTAACTATGGAGAGAGTCTAGAGCCGTTTGGCTTGGAACTACCTACATCGGCATTATCGAATCCTAGCAGTCCGTCACTGGTCTCGACTGTGTGAGTTTCCCAGGAAGACCTCGGAGGAGCTTCGAGTAGAGAGTGAGATGCCTCGATGTGACGCATGGATGCGAGAGATGCTGAGTCCTCGAGCTCCAGGATCCTAATTGAAGCCGATGAGATTGACGGAAGGGTTCGAATCATGCGTGACGTTAAGATTTTTTTCCTTTTGTAACGCAAATTATTCGTAATATCTCGAACGTATCACGCCTTCAACCGTTCGCCCTCGACATATTTCACATCCTTCCATTTCGAGAAGTCCATTCTCGGCATCCGGTCAGTTGTGCAGCCATACCTTGAGAGGGTAGATGGATTAATTTCAACTTCTTCTTCTCCAGGTAGTAGGCTCGAACTTATTGCATGTTATCTCCCTCTCATTTACAAAGCCGCAAGAAATCTGATCCCTTTAAGCCTACCTCGGATTTCCGTTGGATGTGGCTTCTTCGAAAACATGTAATTGCATATCATGCATGTCATCGGAGTTATCGCAAATCAGTCGTGCTAGCGAGAATTTCCGGATTTCGGCTAACTGTTCCAAGGTGAAAGATGAGGGCCATCCAGAGTTTTCGAACCTGGAACCGAAAAACGCCTTTGGATAAAAGCTTATCTACAAATTGAAGTTTTTATCGCACTCCGCTTTTGCACGCGTCCCTTCGGGTCCAAAAACTTGGGCGTTTCGGGAGAGCAAATCCCTGCTCACTCCGGACATAATCAGGAAGTGGAAAGAATTTAGGCGAGGTGTCGTACAATCTTATGGTGCGACCAGCCTGTATGAGTAGAGGAATGTCGCAAACTAATCGGCATTTTTCAAGATTCTTCTGTTTAGCGTCGGCCCAATGCCAGCTGGTGTACGGCCAGATGAATAAACCAGCACTCAAGGTCCCGTTCTGTTTGGTATACACACATAACGAACGTCTTGGTCGATGAAGGCAAGCCGCTCGTTGAGGCGTGAAAACTCATGTGTGTGAGAGGCGGTCCGTTAAACTGGCCTCGAGGATTCCAGAGAATCGAGCTGTGAGCGTCGGCTTCGTGGAGAAACATAAGTCATAAGGGAAGCTCACCAATATCGATCTCCGCGACGAATGTTGGCGAACTGTTCCCCAATCAGACAACTGAACGTAGGGCCGAGGATTCCGCCGGGCACGGGAAACTCTCCGACACCGGCCGACCAAAGATCGATATCATCAGGGTGTCTTGAAGGAAAAGGAAACTCAATAAACTTAATACACGATACCGAAGCTTGGACTGGCGCGATTGCTGATGCAGGGTCGCGCTCTCAGGGAGAACGCAAAAGATGTTGCGGAAAAGAGCGAGTTCTTGAGATTTTCTGGACTTACTTATAGAGCTGCGCGTAACGGTATATAGTCTTATTGGCCATGAATCCGGTCAAGTCCCCGAAGCTCTTAGCTCGAGAAAGGCCGCAGTATTCGCGGAAATCGTTGTAGCCAGGCACTCCAGTTTCGCGCGCACGTTGTACGTTCAGTGCGACCAAGTCCATTCCGAAGCCGTCACCCGTCTTCTCAAACAGATGGTTCGTCACCTAGTCGAGAATTCGACTTCGTATTCAACTAGGCCAAAGGGTGGAACACAAGAGCGTGGCTGTGGGTTCAATACGCGATTGACGTCTTTCCAGAGACGAGGTCGCTTACTTCAGTGGTGATTTCCTGATCGACTCGACTCGCCTGTTGGTTGACCATTCCCAGAATGAAAGTATCGATAACCCCGGGCTTGTAGAGGTCATATGGTTGCCGCAAGAGCCTAGAGAGTCGGATCGATTCTGGAATAGTGTGGGGGCGCTAGGAATTTACTCCGGAATCGCTCTAGGATGATCGAATTGAATTCTAATCGCTCGCACGGCCGTTACCGATTTTATCATGGAATTTATTGTAGCGATCGGTCACATCCGGGAGAAGAGTGTGCCCGAATCGGAAAGCAGCCGCCTGGAAACCTTGCCGGATCCCAGCGTTGACCTTAGGGTCATAACCATGGTAGAAACCGTCCGAGGCGGGCAGCAAGCCATATTTCTGAATGGCGTCGGGTCCGATGATCATTGGCAACCATTCACTGATTACTACATGTTGCACCTGAGCTATGATTATATGGCGAGTTTCCTGGAAAGTCGTCTCGTCGTCCCAATGAGGGTTGAGTTTCTGGAGAATTTCAGCTATCTTGTTGTGCTCACGCAACCATAGCGTGTGCATGACGGTCAAGGTGAGTTGTTCGTTCACTCTTTCGTCTCCAGCGTCGAAACAATACAAGTCCCGTGGACGAGACATACAACCGACGTCGGCTTCGGTTGTCTTCATCGGAAGCAGGTCTTTCAGACCTAAATCTCGATAGAGTTTTGTAGTCTTCATGAGACCATTTTTGTAGGTCCGGAGTCTCGAGGCGACTTCTTGGTTCGATCCGTAGATGAAGCCAGCGTCAATGTAAGCCGAGAGCGTGTTTGATGCGGATCGCGGCCCGAGCTTGCAGCTAGGTCTGAGGGATGCTAGGAGTCGAGCGAATTCAAGGCACTTGCGATTGTAGAACTTGTAGAACGGATCGTCGTCGGGAATTTCTATCGGCAAACAGTTCGGGTGACGTTTCTCAATCGGGGTTCTACGGGAAGAGAATTTCATTTCAATTTTCCAGAATAATTATTGCCGTTGGACGGTAGGCGATGAACTTATCGACGGCTCCCGAAACTTACGGACAGCAGACAATGTCTTGCTTTTCGTGGTCCAGTGTCGGAGCTGCTAGCGTCAGGTCATGGTCCAACAATTGGCCGAAAGCGACAAGAATGGTTCGTATGCGCTTGTCTTTTTCAGAAACGTCATGATGGATCAAGAACGAAACCTTTCTCGGGTTCGGCAACTCACTGCCGTCGCGAGCTCTCCTTGGCTCGGATATGCCGTCGGCGAACGCAGGTGGCAAAAAGCGTACCATCGCTGATCTCACGGAGCCCCAAGAGGGATTCTGGAGGTTATTGCATTGTCCCGTCAAGGTTCTGGAGAGGCGGGCAAGATTTTTACAACTATTAGATTCGCGTTCTCGAGAACAGATTTCCGGCTTCGGGATTCCCCTTGAGTACGCACCTGTAGCGGGACACTTCGCACTTTATCGGCTTCAAGAAGGTCGGGCAGATATCATCGATGATGGTTCGCGAAGTGTCAATCTTGGGGAGACCGAATACGATATCTTGGTAGGAAAGGTGGAATCGTTCGGCGAGAATCCGCGTGGCTTTCAATACTGCGGAGGAAAAGCAGCAGGGATGGATTCGACGCCTGATTTTCTGCTTGCGCCTCAGTGCTTCGACGGCTCATTCAGATTCATGATTCGGAGACAACGCTCACCAATTTCTGCGGGAATCGTTATATGCTCCGGCGTTGGTGTATCGGAAGTCAGCTCGTAGATTTCAGGAGGTACGCGGCCCCCGGAGAAACTATCTTTGGCCTCGCTGACTGCCTGGTTCACATCGTCGTAAGTGATGCATCTCTGAGTACCTACACCCCTGCAACAGTTTTCTAGCTCGAAGTAATGCACTACTATACGGAGCGGAAGTGAACCCAAGAATTCATCGTCGGATTGTAACGTTTGCGCATCAAGCGGGGAATAGAACTTACACTTCCGTCAGGCTTTTGCCCGTAATTATCAGAGCACAGTTCTCGGGCAGGGCTGCGTGCACGCTGAGTGCGAGGTACCCGACAGTCAGAAGACTGGAAATGAATCGTGGTGCTATGATCTCCTCCATTAGATATGTATCTGATTAGCGCGTAGAAATTGAATCTGGTACGATCTAGGTCTTGCGGCGGATTCGTACTCGTGATCCATAGCAATGACCGCGCAACCCTCGGAATGGCAGATATTCTCGAATGATGAATCTCCCCTCAAAAGGTTCGCGTACGTGGCGCACCGAAGTATAAATCAAAGTCAGCAGCTGTGTGCGGGTAAGGATTGAAGCCGTGCGAGAAAAGCACAACAAAAGTAGTGCTGGGAAGTCGCTGAACGATTTCGCAAGTTCAAGATTGACGGTCGGCGTGAAGATTCCTGTGGGCACACGAGGTCGCAATTCCGACACAATACGTGGTCCGTGCTTGTCGGAAGAAGCAGGCGAACGGCAACGGACAGGGGCTCAGCGAGCAGGATGACTCCGGCTGAATACTGATGGAGCGGATCGCTCATATGTATGTATACTTGGAGGAAACCAAGCTAGAACATTCCAGCGGATACCGAACCGACAGAGATGTGGAGTCGCACACCGGATGCAGAGTCGTGGCGCCTTATCTGAACCTGGATGAAACTCCAGGAACTCGGAAATTCCATTGAGGGTTTACCGGGGATCACTTCGTTTCATTGTTTTGATCCCGCAGAAAATCAGACCGGTGATTGCTCATAAGTGTTGCTCATAAGTTGATCTCATAAGTTTCATGTCCTCTGCGATCTCATCACAATCTCACCATGTTATGATTTATCGCTAGAGTTTCTATCTCACCGGTCATCTCAAGCTATCGCGAATGCGTCTCGTCTGCTTAAGAGTCGGCACGTAATCACCGCTTCTGTCATCTTTGGGGTTCCGCAAGGAATTTCCGGACTCAGGGACCCTTATGTCGCATGAATGCGAAGCCATAGAATGAGTCAGAGCCGTGATACTGGAATTGGGGCGTCCGGCTGAAGTTAAACTCCGCTCAGCACCCTTCCGACGGTACTCACTGCAAGAAGTATCCCATGTCTGAAGGTCGTATGGCACAGGGTGATTCCACGCACGATGAACTCACGAATTCATAGTCCGATTGTCTGGACTTTGAGGCGCACCGGGAAAGCTTTTATTCGAACGGTGTCACTTTCGCGAGCAAGTGCAGCGTTTGAATATGGCACAAAAAAACCCTTCACCTGTCTTCATCCCGTCCGCTTTTGCCCGCGACGAGGGCTGCAGTCATGGGCGAGGGCTGAGGGTAGCTTGGGGAGCGGCGCGCTTCTCATTGCATTTTTCGCGCTGCAGCGATCCGCACCGAGGAGGCATCAAGGCGGTACCGGGGATTAGAGCAGCAGGCCCCTTCTCCTGGATAGCCCCCGCCGAGAAATCTGCGAGAACGTGTCCGATCGCTTAGTGCATGCGTTCTCGATCCCCGATTCCCATTCTAGAAGACATAGTCATTCTAACGGATCTTGTCTCACCTTGATGGTCAGAAATACGCCCCGATCCAGAGATATCATAGTATCATACTATGATATCTCCCCCGGTACCCGAATTTTTTTCTCGGGCCGAATATCTACACACGCCTGGATATGGTCTAGTTTTCAGTGTTAATACAACGAATATCCTTTTCTCAAGGCGGAAGCTTATGAAGCGAGATAAAGTCGACCTGTGCTTTTCTGAGGCAGAATCGCGGGCAGCCAGTGGGCTGCGGAACATCCGCTCAAGTATCCCGGGAGAAATCTGGTGTCTAATCATATTCAGTGATGCCCTCCCGGAGAACTTCATGTCCCGCGATGGTTATCTACCGACCACTCAGTCGATGGCCATCTTGCAGCCAGGGTGACTCCTTTAGACTACCGCACCTAGGTCATGGGCTTGGGATTCATCATCTCTTACACTGTGCTCGATCGGGAGCTTGACGCGAGAGACGGACGGTGGACTCGAGAAATCGTACGCCTCAATCGGGATTCTTCTGGCCTGTAGAGGGAACTTTCAAATTTAGGCGCGCTCTACTCAGACTAGGAACAGCTGACGCTCGCCGATGACAACGTACGGCTCGGATTTTGTTTCGATTTTATGTTCCCGAGGATGGCGTTCGTAAGTCTCTTTTTTAATTCCCCCTCGCGTCCGGCGGTGAATCATGCAATCGGGTTGAGACTCCTACGTGCCACCAAAGCGCGCTGAGCAAGGCTCCGTTCGAGGAGGAGAATAACATGAATTCTCCATCTCGAAATACCGACGCTTCTTCCGTTTCGTCCCGGATGCGCGATTGATTAAGTCGTCTCCCATGAAAACTAAGGAGAGCGAGCATAAGGGCTGCATCTTCCGAGAAGGGCTAGATTCATCTTGTACGTCCCATGATAATGTCTCCGAAGAAAGGCGGGATTTAGGCCTCAGAAAAAATCGGCTCCGGAACAGATCAATGATTCTCGCGCCGCTCTTCATAATTAGGTGCTTCGGACTCATTTTTATCGCGAACACGGAGCGATTTATTGATATGGACGAATTCAATCGGTGACAAAAGGCTGTCTCCTCTGAGGAACTTCTATTTTCACATTTCGATGTCGAACACCGTAAAGCGTAATTCAATGGTCCCCCAGGTCCGCCAAGCCGTCGATCCATCTGTGTATCCTTAATATCCTCTCCGAGGACCTTGTGCACCCCCTCCCGTAGGACTCAAAAATCGCCATGCGTCCCCGGGGGTTCACTCTGCGAACCACTGGTGCACACGATGGAGATCTTTCTGCCGCACCGGCCTCTTCTGCTCTCTGGGAAAGCTGAATTTCAGGGGTTAAACGACGCTTTCTCATTCCAGGCACAAGAAGTCGATCCTCGCATGGCGCACCTTGCGCAGTTCCTACGACAGAACAATGTTTCTTTGTGGGAGCGTCCATACTGGCAGGACAGCCAGGCGAACATCCCGCAGCATCTACTTGAGGCGGCTGCCGAAGAATGTCGCATACCGATCGAGGTTATGATCCTGAGTGTCTCGGCCAGAAGTGACCGCTGAGCTGGAACGGCATGGCTGATCAAGCAGTCGCCAACTCTCTCATTCTGTTGCAGATTACCTTGGAGCTCCTCTTAGACCTCCAGAAGCACGCTCTCCAACGGAAGGAAGAACGGCAACTTCTCAGCGAACAAGGGGTGAGCGGCCGACTTCCCTCGGGCGTAAGTCTCTCGTGTCGGAAATGGCTTGATAGCATCTGGATCCCTACGTTGCAGATAGTCACCATAAAAGTGAAGCTTCAGCGAAAGGACTATAACTTGAAGATCCCGATATCGTCTTCCGTCGCGGATTTGTACGGAATGGTTTCAAAAGCAGCTGAGATTCCAAGAGAGCGCATCAGATTGATTCTCAATGGCCAGAAATTACTCGACGAGGATGTTCCTCTCAGCGGGAAAAATGTAACAATCTCGAAGTGGAGCGCAGCCCATAGGTTCCGTTCTCGACGTCGATGGGTATATCCGAAGATCAAAATTTTCGCTCCTTCCAGATGAAAAACAATACGAAAATTGTCGGTATCGTGACTAGTGCCAAGATCGAGGAGTTTATCCGGGACGAACTCGCGATTATCGACTCGAATCGTAAGACTAACGCAGCGAAAGCCAATGCCAGAACCATTTCAGCCTTGAATCGTTGCGAGATAACGAATCAGTTCGGGGAAAAAGTGAGCATGAGCGAAATGAGGGATTCCATCCAATTTTCCATGTTTGTTTGATTAGGCATTGATATTCGTCATTTCCTCATCTTGCAGGTCGAAATTCCCGACAAAATAAAGTTAGATCTGACCGCTGCACTCAGCTTACACGACAAAGGACGCTCCGAGCTGAGGCGGGGGAAGTCGGAACAAGCGTTGAATTATCTCCTCGAAGCTGAAAGGTTAGCGGCTCAGAGAACCATGAGAATTCAACTCAATTCAACCCGCGACTCTTCAACGATGAACGAGACATCGAGCTCAAAGACAAAGCCTTTCAGGATCTCACAGAGCATCGATGTTTCATCTTATCCTGTTCTGGAACGATTGAGCAACGTTCCGCTGCTGAACTTGGACATTGTGTGGTGTTTCCTAGAAGCTGGCTCGATGAACCACTCAAGTGATTGTGACAGAAGACTGCTGTTGGCCGAAGAGGGCTTCAGGAAAGCCTACGGTCCGAATATGGAGCGGGTGAGAACTTTGGACGACTCCTTCAGACAACGAGTATTTATTCCGGAAGACTGAGCTCGCTCGCGTGAGGTCCGTCCATGCTCCATTTCGGGGTTCGCTTTTATAACTTAGCCTCTATGCAGGTGACGAAAGCCAAGGGGAACGCAACAAACGAGCAAACTCTCTCTGTCCGTCTCAAACTGCTCCAAGGCGTGAGCGCGTTCTATAAGGCCAGCTACGGAGAAGCTCGGCGGAAGTTCAGTGAGGTTGTGATGGGTTCGGTTTCTCGTCCGAGCATCAGGGCCAAGCTTCCGCGACAGGAGCGAATTCTGATTTCTTGTTCGCGCAGGTGGAAACCTTGATGGCGAAGCTCGTAGTGAACGAAGATCATCTGTTGACGCTCATGAGCTTCGGATACACCGCGAAGGAATGTCGATTAGCTCTACGCCAGACGAATAACATTGTAGAGCTCGCGTTGACGTACCTCGAAGAGAAGCAAATTCGTCGCAAGAACGAATACGAGCGATGGAAATCGGAGCAACAAGGGAAATATTTGGAGGTACCTGCCAATTGATGCGCGCACCATTTCCGATCTTTCGGCCCACGAGCGCGACTTTTGGGTCGTGACTCCCATGAGCTCGAGCGGATAGAGCGGGAATCGGAAAGTGGACGTTGATCCCGGAAAGCCATTCCGCGCTCAACGCGAAGGCGAAGAGTTTCACGAGGGTCGGCTGTTCATTCCAGGGAATAAACAAAACCTTGTATGATCGTATGATAGACGACGTAGGAGTCACCCCAGCCACGGCAAGACGCGCTCTACTCGAGTTCCAAAACGATTATAACAGGTAGCGTCATCGGGCTATCCTCTCATATCCGCTGAAACCAAGTTTGAACTCATTTCACCTACCTAAGGCGCTCCATTCTATCTCCTTCTAGAGCCGTTGATTTCGCTATGGAATATGAATGCTCTGTGAACAAACGTAGGCAAGATCGCACTTCGGGCTCTGCTAATCGAGGAGGCGAAGCGATCAGGACGGATGAGCCTGTGAGCACACCAAAACGCATAATATTTCCGGCGATACAAGAAGTTTTTCCTCTTTCGAAATCGCGGGGCGTCTCCCATAATGGTTCGATTCCTCCCCCATACAGGGCCCCAGCTCCGCCAAAAGTTCCAAAAATTCTTCCTCCGACTCAGATGTAGCAGCTTTGATCCAAATGGGCGTCGAAGCAAGCTGTGCCGAGGAGCTTCTGAGATTCTTCAAAGTGAGCTCGCAGAACAAGGAAAGAGTGTTTTGCTAATTCCCGTATGGCGGAAACAATGAGATATCTCCTCGTTCGCAGGGCTCCTTGATCGATGCGGAGAACTTTTTGCTGACTGGTAACTCCAACAAAGACACTCAGGTGGATGCCATGCTGTCCCGTATGAGCAGGTCAGCTTCTGTGTGTTCATTATCGCGTGTTTTCCTCATATGCAGCCATCCTCGTGAACATTCGTGAAGTGTTTCGTGTGCGTCACTCCGTACCATGATGATGTATTCGTTTTAGGTTTGTCAGCGTCGAAGCTGAAGACTACCTGGATTCGACGTTGGAGAGGGAGATCGAGTGCCTTAGCGTATACAGTGAACGATTGGCTCGAATCGAGTCTGCTCTGCCCAGTGATCAATGATTTCCGGACATCGCACACATTGGGATGTCTTTTCCAAGTCCTCGTCGTATTTTGTGGGTGGTCTCAAATCAATAGGAGGAGAACCTGCGTGAGTTTGAAGGGCAATGAATATCTGCCCCTCGGGAAAAGTCTCCTCTTCTTCGAGCTTACAGGGCTCCTGGGGGACAGAGATGGCGGAGGCGAGCGAGCACTGATCCTACAGCCGATCGGGCTTCGATCATCACTTTACATACAGACTTGTAAGCTGAAGGGTGCGAGTACCCCTGATTGAACCGGGAAACCATATAAAACGCAAAGGTATTGAGAAGCCCGTGGCAATTCGAATGAGCTCAGTAGGCAGTCAATGTTCGGCAGGAATCCCCCCCGGAATTGTCGATTCTCGATTTATTATTTCCCTTTCGATTGCAATTCGCCGTTCCTACACATTTCCGAAATCATACAGAGATGAGAATTTACAGACCTTAAGTACAACAAACATCATGATTAAAAATGCATCTGAGCTGAAGACTGAAGCCCCTTCAGTGCAAGCTGAGGTTCAGGTTTTCTACATCCGCGCGAAGTATAGCACCGATCATGACTAGATGATTCCTCAAGATTCATTGCGACGACTCAACGAAGCTCTCGGTCGAATTAATAGATCCATGCATAGACTTGAGACGGATTCAAAGCTTCCGAATTGTCGAGTCGTCCCCCCTGGATGAACCTATCAGATTTATTACACTTCACTGGACATGACGAGCCGCTGAGTCCGCGGACTGTGGGGATGATGATTCAATGATGGCAGTTTTGTGGCAGATGATTCTTTCGTGAGCTTATCGTTGTTACGGAAGAGATTCGACCCATCTTCTTCGGGAATGTAACTTGTGAGGTTCTGCATCGAGCTTCTCGCTCCAGAAGGAACGCTATCCAAAGCCATATGGTGGTGATGATGGTTGGCGCTCACTCGTTGATGATGCATCAAGTTCGAAGAAGAACACGAAGACGAAACATTGTGCGATGGAATTGGCGTAACTTTCGGGGGTGTAGATGCTGACCTAGGGTTCTGACCGAGACACGTAGTATAGCCTGGATGAATTAGAGTGCCGCTCCTGACCGGTGTGTGGCTCAACCTGAGGGAAATTGAGTCTCTGGTTGTTCTTTCGAAAAATTGTCCATTATCTCTTGGAATGATCAACGAGTTTCGAGCAATCCTCTATCTCACCGTTCCATGTGTGTTTGATAAGAAGGAGGCTTCGGCGGCCGACAAATAGGTTTCCGAACTCCTGATGTGTCTTCCGGGAGGCTTGAAGCGATCGCTGAAGGAGGTGGAGTATTGTTCTCCAAGAGCGATGGGCTCCGTCCGGCCGCGGGTTCGCGTGCGCCGAGCGATGCAGTTGACCGTCTTTCTAGACGACTCAACGTTCGTGACAAGTCCACACTGCAATCGCATGGCGTTATCATGAGAAGTCGACGCATAACGGTCACAGGGGAAAATCTGGGCGGATATGTGCGATCGAAACTCACCTTTCGGGTAAGGGTAGGCCGACTTCATTAAAGTCGGCAGTCGGCAAATTCATATAACTCGTTGATAATGGACGTATTCTTTGGAAAACCGTCATCGGTCTCACTTGCATGCCACTATCGGCATGGCAGTCGACATCATCATTATCATCATCGTCGTCGTCTTCTTGGGACGATTCGCCCGAGGACTCGTTCAAATGCAGACCAAGACTCGCTCTGCATTCCATGAGCTTCGACCATCGCGCCGATGAGCTCTCCGCGTGCCTTCATCACGGATGGAGGAAGATTAGCGCGACTTAATAAATCTGTGGAAAAAATTCTAGCGTTCCCGGAACTGAATACAGACATGGGGAACCTGCCGATACTCACTGTGTCTGTAGGGGGGGTGAACTGCGTCCAAGCGGGCTGGTTCGTCTCCCAATCTTTCTTTCGGCGAAAGCTTGTAAGGACTGCTCGTCTTGAGAGTTTTCATTCGGGTCCCGCATGATGTCGAGCGATTGAAGCTGTGATATCGTATTGCGTTCGAGCGTTTTTATTTTCTTCTCCAAATCCTGCAAACCAATCGAAGAGGGAAGTCGTAGCGATAGCGATGGACCTCTCCTATCGGTCAATGAAATCCGGTGCATCGAATTCCCTCGTCTCGGTCCGCTCTGTGGGCACACTGGACAAGTTTACAATCGTCGCACCTGTTTAGATTCGCCAATTTTCTCCTGTAGTTCCTGCTTGTCGGCTTCGAGTTTCCTTTCGAAGTCCTTGAAGAATGGAACACAGTAGCAGCTATAGCCTCTGCCCACTGGACCCTTCCGGATATTCCCAGCGAGATCGAGATAGTACTGTTCGCCTTTGGCAAGCGGATCCGGGGGCAAAGTTTCGATTTTTGGCGTCGGGAAGCCCGCCATGTCGTGCGGAGAGTGTGGACAGCCGTACGGCCCCACGGGTGCTGTCGATGGCAAGCTTTTCGAGCGCAACATGTCGCCTTTCGTTTTCGTCTGAAACCATCGATTCCAATCAGACCTCTCAAATTTCATACATATGATCCGAGGGAGCTTAGGTACAGCGCTCCCATTTTGCCAAAGGCTCACCTTCTTCTTCTTCCGACTAGCGCTGGTGTTCAGTTTACCGCTGCTTGTGGACGTATTCGGGTCTTTTTCTCTCTTTTTGCCCTTGCCGTTCTCAACAACGTTGTCCGGTCGGACGATAGCTGGCGAATGCAGAAGCATTTCTTCGATTTCCGGATATGCTTTCCGTTGCGCGAGGTCTAATGGAGATTCTCCCTGGAAAGAATCGTCATCAATGAGAACGCGTCGTTCTCCCTACGCTCTTCGAGGAGAGCCACATATTGGCAACGCTCTGTATTCGCAGATTCTTGGTAATAATCCCGCATGACGCGGAAGATCCACTCAGTCAGACGGCACGATAGCGAGAAAATTCCCTGCATCGGTGAGAACTTTGTGTCGTCTCTTCCAACTGTACGAATCGTTCGCGACCGTCCGAATGAGAGCTGAAGCTGGCCTTCCGTTGATTCCCATCGGATTCGGCCGTGATGCCTATCATACCGGTCATAGACTCGCTCGAGAGACGCTGCGGCGAAGTTTTCGTAATTACCTGTTCGTTCTTGACGAATACACTAGCCCCGGATTCGAGTAAAATTTTCGTAAGCTTTCGTTTCCGCATCGCGACGGCGACGTGCAGGGCCGTGTCACCATTCTGAGAAAGACGAGAGAGAGCTAATTATACGTATCCGAGGTGATGAAAGAAATCAAGATCTACCCATCGAATTCGGCAGAGCAATCCCGGGACGAATACTGGGCCATAGTCGGAAGCAAAGGGCTTCGAGCTATCTGAGTGAGCCTAGGCAGACATGGACGCGACTAAAGGGATTTCATTTTGAAAGCCGAAGTATTCCTCGAAGCTCGGTTATTCCCTCCAGCTTTCGGATCGTGCTCCGATTGCCGTTGACAGAAGATATTTCTGCAGATGACAAATCGTATCGGTCTCCCGCGGTCAACGAAACTCGAGAGCTGAATAGGACAGCGATTTCTGAACTGAAGCAAGGAAGCTAACCCGATTGGTCTCCTGAACATTGCAGAAGGCAGAGACTAGGATCCTCACGACGCCGGCGTGTCCGTAGCGAGTGGCAGTGTGTAGAGGGGTATCGCCATACTGGAAGACAGATTTGATCATGTTGGAATCGAATAAAATAGTGCCTTTGATCGGCTCGGATTCCTATTTGTGCAAGAATCATCGTATTCAAGCAACTTACGTTGTTCTTCACGTCGGGTCCGCAACCTTCCATCAAGAGAACTCGTGAGCTTTGATTATGGCCGTTTTGAGCCGCCAGATGCAAGGCCGTGAATCCGGCTTTGTTCTTGACGTACAAGTTTGCGTGGGCTCTCGCAAGAACCTGTAATTTATTATTGAATGGTTATCGTCGGGCAGCATCCACTGACGGTGGAACAGGTCCTGCGGACTCATCACCGAAAAAGTACCCTCCGATTCTGCCTCGTAGGGAACCCACCTCGACCGTTCTGCTGAAACCTCTCCAAGCAGCTTCGTGTAAGGCCGTGTTCCCCGAGAGCCTTTCTTGAGCATTTAGAGCACAGCCATGTTTAGCCAATAAGCGAATCACCTCCATATGACCGTCCATTGCTGCGTGGTGAAGAGGTGTGTATCCACACTAAAAAAGAGAAGAAGGTTAATATTCTATCTAGCACCTCTCTCCGAAATCATAAGAAGGCGTCGCTCGAGCCAATTCCGCGTTCGGGCTCTCTTAAAGCTCGATCCCTGAAGCAGGGGAGGCAGGCAGCGTCGTTTTTCGAATTTCGGTGTCCCTGTATTCTCCGGGATCCGAATTCTTCAACATTGAGGGACCTCTCTCGGAGGACCGCCAATATATCCAGGTGCGGATATATGTAGTAAATTGGGGTTACGGTCTTCGAGTAGGGATCTCACTGGGTCCTATAGTTGACAGCGCTGCGAGGCTTTGAGACGAGGAAAAATGCGTCCGTACGGCTGTCCTGATAGAGCAGCAGGGGAGAGACTCCTAAAGGATCGCGGAAGCCTACTGGCTTGGGCTGGTGATGCTGAAGCCTCATTCGGCTATGACTGAAGTCTCTTCAAGCCCCTCGTAGGAAGCGCCTCCAGGTTCACTGGTCGAAGCAATTCTTCGACTGATCGTTTGTAGGGTCGCTTCCATCGCTGGGTCTGCGTCCAGTTGAGCCGCCGCGCCGCTCGGCAATGCCCATGGCAGTTCGGTCGAGGCGACGGCCGATTGACCGATGCAAACACGCAGCGGACGATTTACGCGCTGATTTTTCGCGAATCGGAGGAAAATCGGCGATTCGAAATTCATCTCACTCAGCGACTGCTTATTATTTCCCCGAAGTTTTGCGCGGAGCTTTTCGCTCTGAGCTCGACGGCAGGCCGTTCTTGCCGAGTAACCCGGCTGAGCTACCACGATGGAACGAGAAACGAGAGAAACATTATGACGGAATGCAGGCTGAAGGATCATTCAGCATTTTGAGAAATTCAGAAGCTGTCTGTCGTTACGAGGCCGCTTCGTTCGCCGGCCAGAAACTTATCCCGCTCGTCCACTCGTTGCCTGACTTCTGTGGAACAGTGGGCCAACAGAGCTACCAGGCAGGAGCGACAGCACAGAAGTTTTGTTCCACTCGGTTGATTGCGACAATTTTTCCGCCGTTTCTCTCGTATCGAAACAACAGATCCGATATTTTGTTCAGAGGTTCCACTCACTGAGCGGCTGTATGTGCGCGAGCGAACCAGTAAATTGACAGTGTCTCGTTCAGTGTTTTCGATTAGCCCAAACGTGAATGGGAGCCGGAACAAGTTCCTTTCGAGTGATTCGAATCCATCCGAGCGACGCAGATGAATCGACTTATTTCTAGCGTAGATGGATGGATGGATACGGGGTCACGCCCTCTGATTCAGGTTCCGCCCACACACAACGCCACTGTATCATTTGTCGTCGGTGCTTGTTCTGGACGAGGTTCTACACGATCGAGAAGTCTGTAACGGAGGAGACTATTCCGGCTTGTGATTGCCGGGGATTCCTCGATGTCTTGAAGACATCTCACTCAGCAAACTATGAAGCGATCAGCGTGTAATCGTCGTGGTCTTGATGAACCAGTCAAGAAGAAGTCCGGTCCTCGTTTGTGCACGACCTTAAACAAAACATCTGTCGGCTCGGCAAAGCGGAGAATCCGATTTTCTCCACTGATTGTCTCTTCTGATGATACGGCAGATGGCAGAAAAAAATTCCGCTCCCCAACATACGCTCCGTTCCGGGAGATCGAGACCGCTGGCGGCAGCCGATTCCCGCGAATCGATGCAAACTCGAGGGGCATGTCCGGAGCAAGTTAAACGCAATCGTTTGTCCGAGTGCCGCCCTGGAGTCCGAGCGACGAATATTTTTAATACTCCCGCGCTTTTCCATTCGTTTGCCCGATTCGTGTTTATATCGTAGGCCCTGCAGCTCCCGCAGCCCCATTCGCTCTCCGTCGGTCAGATTCGATACGCTGTATTCTGGAGAGCTATGGAGCGCGTTTCTCTTCGCCAGAAAGCTAGCTCTAGAATACCAAAGGCTGGGGGTATTAAAGTTCAGCTACAATCTGGGCGACTTCTCCTGACGCCCGACTGCACGTCACAAGGTCGAGATGTCTGCTTGCGTGAATTCCAGCTTTTCGTGTACCGCTCTCGCCGACCATTCGTCCATCCTTTCGATCGATTGCTCTCATCCGAAGCCATTCCTCGGGTATTTGTATCTGAAGACGACATCGGTCACTTGGCTTGCCGGAGCTAATCAGGCAGGCTGTCGATTCAAGCGGTCGAAAAAGGGGCTCGCTCTGCACTGGCATCGGAAAGATGAAGAAAAGATTGGAGAGAACGGAGAACACGAGCCGTCGTGCCAGGAGCAAAAAGAGAGAACACGGGGCGGCTCCCGGTCAAGAGACACGAAAGTGGCGCTTACCACCATCGAGAGGGAGCGCCACCCTTCAATCAGTCGACCACCGACATGTAGGATTCAGTTCTAGCTTTCCGTCATGTCCAAGAAATCCTCGGGTGTCGGGACGCCAGCGGCCCGACAAGTTTGTGATTCCTTCGATGTCTTCGTCGTCCGGACCGCATTAGCTCCTTGGTTTCCATTAGTTTCGATGGACATCATGCTTCTCAATCCAGAAATACCTAGCTATCGGAGCTCCGCTTCGACATGAAAGGCAAATCGAACTCACTGCATCCAACTGGTTGATCTTGGCTCCACCATTGAGGATAAGGCATCTCGCCGAATCCACGAAGCCATTGCCGCAGGCCATGTGTAGAGGAGTACGACCCTCCTGAAACAGAAACCATTCATTGGAAGCGGATTCTTGAGAACGTGAATCTTCTGGGCTCATTCCCGGTGTGTCGGCTCTACCGGCCGACCACGATGCGGCAGAAGAAGTTGGACCGCGCGGTAGCATACTCTAACAACTCATGACTCGCGACGCCTAGGTCTGAGAAAGCAGGAGCTATCCCCACAATCACCTGTAGTCAGGAGATCAGGAGATTGGCCTCCGAGTCACACAAGAGCTAGCTATCCGGGAAAACTATTTATGAATGTACTCGTTGGAGCTATCTATGTAGGTTTTCAATTATCTACGATCCGATATGGTTCATGGACTTTGTGCGAGAAGTGACGAGAAACTATCTGTTCTCTTGGATACGCGATGGGCGACGGACGAGCCAATTATGGATTCAAGCACGCCGAGGTTCCCCACACTTGAGCCGTGACGCCTAAATGACGAATTCTAAGATCAGCGTCGAGATGCTGCTCCTACAGCGGACATTTCAGCACAATGAATATTCGCCGATTCTTTACAGGTTTTCGTCATGAAGTGATCCGCGACTGAAAGTCGCAGGAAGCCGAAACACCGGAGCGCATGCCGGTAGCCACAGTCGAGCGATTTTCACGCCTAGATGAACCAAACAATAAGTCCTGTTGCATGAGATCGAGTCACGCTGCTGGAACCGACATGCTGGCAGGCGACTTCTCGATGCGCCGAATCTTATTGGGACTGATCGCGGCTGAACTCGATGGTCGATTGAAAGCCGTCTTCAGTATTCTTCCTCATCACAGAAGAGACTCAGGGGGAGAGGGTGTCAGTCTCCCCTTCCGAGGCTCTCTGGACTCTCCGGCTCTCAATAAATCCATGATAATTTCGACAAAAGGATATAATCGGTGGAACGAAAAGCCTAGGGATTTAGCCCACAGATCCTCTCTTCTTCATGGGTATTGCGGACGTCTTCTCCTCCGAAATGAGGAGACTTCTACATGATAATGATGTCGTCGAGGATACCCCGGCATATCCTCGTAGATTGACGCGGATACACAGGATCGCTTGCGATGAGCAGTAATCTTCAGCGCCGACAAGCTATTCGTCTGCTCCGATTTCCACGATCACCTCCTTCCACGGTTCCCCTATATTTTCCACGATTCTCGAAAATGAGTATACAACATGTAAATAAATAGGACGACCGCTTAAACGACGTACCTTTCGCGTTCTGTCGTTACGGCGCGGCGCTCAGCGAATAAACACGATCTTGCTTCTGCTATCGCTGCGAAAACAGCGTCCTATCTAATGGCTGCGCTGACGGGTGCGAACCATCTTTTCGACTCGAATATTTATCGAGCAATTAGAAGTCGAATGATCAATCATCGACGACGATTATTAATTACCACGATGCGGCGGAAGCATTCTTGGGACGGATTAATATACAAGTCGACCATCCGTCGCGGACCGAACGGAGGGAAGACTCGCACGAACGAGCTTCTACAGTGTCGTCGATATTTCCGTCCCCTACTTCGAGAGGGGGTACCGATTTCGAGATATCGGTTTCCCAAAAGGCTGGTTCCGATGATCCGGGGGACATCCGATGACGAAAGATGCCGAGGAAGCTCACGCAAGCGGGCTCTCCAAGTTTTCCGCCGAATTCCTTTTTCTAGCGCAATGGGAGTCTGAGCGGTTTAGCCGGAAAATACGTGTTTTTCTTTTTTAGCTCCCGCTACCAAGCGAAGTACCACCTTAAGTCGACAGAACATCCCTCGGAATCAGGAGGAACGGGTATTTTTCGAAGGAAATACGACCTATGTATATGAGTCGGAGATTCAGTGCGACGGCGAATTCCCTAAAACAATCGATCAGCCTATTCTTCGCTGCTGACAAAAAGCGTTGGCGTTGCGCTCGCGTGTAGGTCGATCATTAAACCACTCATGGCTCCGCTTCCGATATGAGTTCAGCCGGAACGCAATACAATTTATGTACACACGCTTTGCAGTGAACAAGGCGTAGAGAATGATACCGTGCGGTCCGCTGTCTGGTTGTGATCGAATCCACGATCACGGTCAATGTGAAATCCACTCACCCGACGGAGTTCACAGAAACCGTCTGTTGGAGGGCGACTACATTGTCACTATTTATTAGAGAGAAATTGACTCAACCAAGTTCATACAAAGGGAAAACTTCTACGTTCATACTAACCTCGTCTGCGCTCATTTTGGCACCGAGCTTGAAGAGCTCAGATATTTTCTGAGCTTCTCCATTGACCGCGGCCTGGTAAAGCCTCTCATGGAGTGTGTGGAGAGGCTCGGGCAGCTCACCCACCGGAGACATCCTTTGAGCCCTCTGCAAGAGAAAGATCATTTCATTATACAATATATCCTCTCCTATCATACGGAATTTTGTATTATATTATAACATATATACGATTTCCCAAAGAAGCTGTATCGAGGCGAAGTTTGTTTCCGGGAACGCCGCTGTGGCCTGCCAGCTGCCAGCCCTTGGCATCGGCATCTCTAGGAGTTACCCTATGCATAGTCTTTTATCAGAACACAGCCCATGCCTTCGATGTGGGTGCGGGCATGATCGATCATCCTCGGCGCATTCGGATATTTCGAACATAACGAGAGGTTTCCTCGACATTGCACGTATCATTGGTTTCCTCGCCGACTGGAGCAGGTGAATCAAGACACCGCTGGTCAAGGAGGAATCCGCGCGGAGATTCCTACGAGCGGCAGTCGCTGAGCTTTTCATTTTGACCACGAAATTGCCCGCGCCGATTTCCTCTCATGCAGAGGTCAAGAACACCGCCAGCGCCGTCTCACTGATCGACGATCCGTTTTCACTGTACCGAATAAATATGAACAAAATCGACTATTGTTCAAACGACGCTGCCACAGAAAGACCCCAGCAAGAGGAGAATCGACCGGGGATTTTCGAAGTTTGTCGAGCTGCCGATTCCGGATCAGGGGTATACATACAATCGACTCGATAACACAGAAGCAATACTTCTTTTTCGCAGATTAAACTACGTTCCCGATTATGAACCCTCAACAGCAAGGATGCTTGGCATCGGCGAATCGTGGCCGAGCAATGTGTCTGAGCAGAAAAACACAGATTTCCGTCGCAATTGGTCATTCCGATGACTTGTCGTGAGCGCTTTTTCTGCGAACGACGAGTATATCGAGCGAAAGACGTGGTCGAGAAAAATATACTTCGCGGCCGCTAGGCAATAGCGAAGAACGATTCAACAGATTCCTTTACGAAACTTTCTCAGTTCGGTGACTCGAGGACAATTATTGTTGAATGCTCATTCAGAAACGGACTTAGAGTGTGGAACATTTTTCGTCCGCTGACATCTGAAGGACAGCAACGCTCAGCTAAAAGAAACACAATACCAGAACGCCTTCTGTCAATTTTCTTTTCGTGTCGAGCCGCGGGTCATATAACTGATTGACCACAATGTCCAGCCGCCCATGCTAACGTAGGCTCTCAGCCTCAGTCACCCACCCAGGTCACCGCGTGGGTTTGACCGTGCCACTTTGTCACTCTGCATTTTATCGCGTGTACTTGGGTGTACCTCTCGGTGAGTGCTGCGGTCAACGATGGACGAGAATATTGCTCAGCTTAAGCGTCCTCACAATCCTTCTATCTCGGGGCAAATACATTGAATAGCGACATCCGCCTCATGTCGAGGCTCTTTCCAGCGGTTGGTTGGTCGTCTGAATCGCCTGGAGAGCTAGAATCCCGAAGAGGCTGTATCGATATCTGTTCGGCACAAGCTGCATCTTTGCCCGAATCAAATGAGTGTCCCTTGATCGGGAGAGAGCATAGCTTGGGTCTCGGTGGCTTCGACGGGGGCGGATTCGAGGGCCCCGTGGTACAGCATTGAACCGAGGCTTTCTCGAACTATCGGAATGCTCCACAGACTCTGATATTCTCGGGGTTTATTCGCCAAAGGTGCTGAAGGAACTCCGTCTCATATCGCCGTTGGAAATCGAGGTCACGTCATTGAGTCGGGTCACCGCTTGACTCTGTCTGAATGTGTTCAATTTCAGTCATTCTCGATGACCGAATACAGGCCATTCGGTGCAACTTCCGACCGCATCGGCGGATCTTGAACCTTAGTTCTCCATCGCGAATCCAATTCATTTGGTCTCGCTCGGGGCTGAGCCCCGCCGCTTTTTCGCGAATTTCCACGTTTCTCGAAAGCCGAAAGTCAATTCGGAACGAGAGGAAAAGTCTCCGCAAAGCCACCTTTAGCATGGAAACGCCGTCCAGAATTCATGACCACACGATGGTCTCACTCGAACGGTACATATACCCGGCCGACGACGGATTCATGTGTCGATGATCGAGAGGAAGTCTCGCCCGGGAACCCGACTGATAAGCTCCCCGATTCCGGATTTTTCCGACACGAAAACTTGCCCAGACGGGAGCTTTCTGATGAAGCAACGTCGCTCGGGATCTCGGAGAGGGGACAAACTCTCGCAGAGAAGCAAGCGAATCTCCTGCAGCGAGAGCACGGGAAACAGGGGATGAAGGGGAAGTATTCGAAGTGTTCTCACTTTGCTATCCGAATTCGCGTGCATGATCTCGGCGGCAGGGATGTGCTGAGAAAACGCTGGGGAACGATCCCAACGTTGGCGCCGTTGTCGAAACCAAGCTCAGTCGTCTACTTGAGTTCGGAGCTCTGACATGAGCAAAGTCGGACTGCACCCATGAACATATTCTTCGTGGAGCTTCACTGAATAGATCGCAATGTTTCGCCGTTTATCAGTAATTCTTGATGGCACATCTTGTATTTTGCCGGCTGTCGGGCCTGGGGGTGCACGGTTCCTTTCGCCAGCTTTAAGAGGTGTACGGACCCAAACGAGCCGGGAAGCGCTGGTCTGAATGTTCCTCATGCTCCCCACCTGTGTATTACGATGTCACTCTGGTGCCGCGGCCGCTGTCAGAGTTTGGGACCAGGAGCTTGACCCTCTCTTGGGAATTACCTTGTGTCCGCGTTCGGGCTATACCCATGTTTGAACCCGGCGCTGTCCATGTCGTATGATAGTGGAAGATAAGCCACCAACATGGCGTCCCCGTGTGATCCACTTGGCTTCTGCAGAAGCTCCGTACAGGCATGTATATCCTCTTTCTGGTAAAGCGTCTGTGATATCACAAATCGCGACTTCTGGCAATGTTTCAGCGTGGGATTAGGTACTCGGAAACATTCGAGAAATGCCTTCGACATGATATGACGATCGGAACCACGTTTTCTCTCAGGTATTGCAATCACAACAGGACTAATAAAGGGCGGATTTCCAATGTGACCCAATTCTCTAGTATCTGAGCGCCGAAGCAGCTTTAGCGAAATTTTTCCGCGGACGTGAACAGCTACCGAGCGGAAAAACGAGCGCGTTCGTTTGCGTACGAAGTACGATAGTTTCTCGGTCGCTTCTTCCCGTCGAACTAGCACGAGTAAGAAGCAATGATACTCATGGCTGGTTGGGGTATCATCATAACTTATGAGAACTGTGACGCTGCTGGCGCGGTCGGAGAGCTGGATCGACGTTCCTTTGTTCGGCTCTGAAGACTGGTGTCGTCACACTCTGTTGGAATTCGGAAATTTGTCTTTCTAGATACGTGAAGTCTAATGAGTTGAGCGTCGCTTGCGGCTCTCTTATGCAGATTCCGTTCAAGAGACGGATTATTGCTGTGTGGGGCTGAACTGGGTCAGAAGACACTTTTGCTTTTCTTTCTCAAATCGAGCAGACCCGACCGCTTCTGTCATTCACGGTGAGAATAACTTGAACTTAGCCGAGTCTGTGTTCTGCTCTTTGTGTTGGAGCGCTCGACTACGATGGGACGGCTTCTAGTATGCTGCAGAGAAGCTGCAGGGACGGTGGGACAGTCGCTGAGAAGGCTAGTTGTGCCTGTGATGGGCTTGGAACGCTTGTGGGATCAGGATTTTGACTCGGAGCTCCACAGCTCCGATATGATGAAACCTCAAGCGTCGGGTGAGAGTTTTCTCGATGCGGTGCTCGACGTCGGCGTCGAGACACAGAGAATTGTTCCGATTTCCTACCCGATTCTTCGTGGCGTCCACGATCCCGTTCTCGTTCTGCCCGACCCTTGCGCCTCTCTTGTCGACGACTTCGACAAGTATACGTATGTCGCCGTTCGTCCCGAATACATAAAACAATTATCGTGTTCAACAGCTTTCGTCAAGCGATCTCCCATCAGAATAGGATTTCGATTCATCGTTTTCCCTTCTGGCCCGTGCTATCGAGTCGTTCTTTGTGTCGCTGATAAGGTCGCGTATTTCCGCTAATAGTCTGGCCACGGAATCGGTGACGATGCTCCCAATACGAGAGCGAGTTGTAAGGTCGCACGGCATCGAGACGAAAACTCGTGTATCGTCAGATCGATAACAGATCTCGGAGCGCATCATTGCTCAAACAGATGAATCAACTCATCCGCGCAACGAGTTCTGTCCCGCGCTGAGGTATCGGTCGCCCGGAGTTCAGGGAAGAAGAAAACAAAATCTCAGAGCTCCACGAAAATGGCGGAAACCGGCCGACGCAGAGAGAACAAAGAAATCTGAAGGAGATGGATTTCTGTGACGGTCTTTACTGCACCTGTTGGTGTGCTTGAAAACGACGAGCCGCGGGTAAAGACGCGACCGAAAGAGCAGCATTCTGTCTTTGAGTGTTTTTCGTCGTCGACGCCGTCAAAGTGTTCGTGTGTCTGTGTGGTCTAAGCTGGTCCTCGTTCAGAGTGTCGTTTGACCACCCCCGTCGTGGAGCAGAAGAATACCTATGAGGACCAAGGAGCTGACACAACACTGAGCATCGGTAACAACTATCCGGACGTACCGAATACAACGAATCGCGAGAACGACCTACCACCGAGCCCTCCCAAAACAGAAAGGATGCCTCTCGTTTTCCTTGACATAGAGTCCACCTTACGATTCGGTGCTTGTTGGACTTGCTGGCTCCTCATATCACGAGTCACGGGCAGACGCCTTGGTGTCGGAAAACCTGACACGAAAGGGCACCGCTGGCAAATGTGCTCGTGTACCTAGGTAGGACGAAACTCCGGCGACATTGACGAAAATTGAGACGACCACGATTCTGTCGCCGCTGACGCTAGTTTTGTTTAGATCCGAATCACTCGGTCGAGGCATAGACAGATAGACGAACAGATCACGGACCGATCCACTCTCTTCCCATCGATAAAATCGAGCAGACAACGCAAAAAACGAACGACATCGTTGCCGCCGTCGCTGCGAAACCAGAAAGCTTCAGTAGGAGCTACGCCCAACACACAAAAAGTACGATGAGCAG